GAGGCGGTCCAGCCGGCGAAGGGAGGGAGGGATCTGTTAAGGATTTTTAAGGAGTTGAAGCAGTCGGTGACGAACGATTGGGGAGGGGCGAGGCCGGCGGTGGTGGAGGAGGATAAAGAGTTTTTGGAGAGGAAGGAGAAGGTTCAGGAGTTGGAGCAGCAGCTTTCTACCGCTTCTCAGCAGGTATGTGTTGATTTTTTTGGGCTTTATTGGTTTAAGGTGCTAATTTGGTAAGTTTTTAGTGAGTCTTTTGTTTTAGAAGGTTTAAGTTTGTTAAATATAGCTTATTTGTAGGTATCTGTTAGTATTTTTATGCACTCATCAGAGTTTCCTAAGTATTATGTGACTTATGGATGGAACTTTTTGGCACTTGCACCCACACATGGTTGAGGATGATGAAGGAGGGGAATTTAAGTGAGTCTTATATGCTATGGTCTGGTAAGAGTACAGAGAGATCGGGATTACCTGATGTACACAAGTTAGAATTTTTTTTTTGGTTACTACTTTCTTCTTGCAAAAGTTGGTGCTTTTTTTTCCTGCCGGCAATTAGGAGATCTGGATTACCTGATATACACAGTTGCTTTCTGGTTGCAAAAGTTAGAAATTACTACGGAGAACGGGAAAGGGAGGACAAGGGCAATAGTAAAGTGCTGAAAGGTGCAGCAGATGAGTTGGTTCATTTGGCTGCATGGATTTGGTCTTTTTTGTTTTGTGATCATAATCACCTCTAACCTCTTGTTGTTGGAGTCATTTTACATCCAGATTGGCTATTGATTATATTCTAGACTTTCTCAACTAGTTTGGTACTCATGTTCCAAACTCTTGTTTTCAGAATTTTGTTAACATCAGCTCACTACAAATAATAATAGAAGTAAAATAGAACGGACTTAAACTTAGCTATATCTGGAGATGTGCATATTTGGGAACGAGATATTAATTTTTTTTAAGGGCGTAAGGAAAAGTACAGTTATCAGCAGCAACACATGTCGAATAGCACAGGAATCTTTGAAGGAGGTGTTTGGTTAGGGGTAGGCAGTTTGGGCAATTAATGACGCGGGCAACTGGAAGGGGTCTACCTAGTAAATCCAAGGAGTTAAAGCAGTTGCTAATGGAGGGGGTAAAAAGAAGTTGCTGATTCCAGCCTCTTATTCTACCATCAGTTTATCAATAGCTTAAATAGTATTGATGCTGCAGATATAATTAACAATTATCAAGGACCTTATTCCTAGAGTTAGGACTGGCCCTTTGATGGTAGAGTTATTTGATTTAGCTTTATATGTTTAGCAATAAGAACTTGCCTTATATTATTTGCCTGTGATGCTCTTATTTGTTTCTATGCCTCGGGCTATCTGCTTTGCTTGGGGATTTAATTGTCTATTGCTCTGCTGCAGGCTGAAGCGCTAGTTAAAGCTCAACAGGATGTTGAAGAAACAATGGGACAGTTGGGATTATCTCTTATCAAACTGGTAAAATTTGAAAATGAAGAGGCTGTATATAATTCCCAGAGAATCCGAGCTGCTGACGCAAAATGCGTTGCAACAGCTGCTGTTAAAACTAGCAGACTCTACCGTGAACTGAACTCTCAGGCGGTCAAACATCTGGTAATGATCAGGGTTAAAAAAGGAAAATGTTTTGTAGCATGAAAATATGGTATTCACCTATACTTAAGATAGTGATAACTGTGGGTTAATTTACCATGCTATGTTGTTGGGCAGGATATTTTGCACGAGTATCTTGGTGTCATGTTGGCTGTTCGTGGTGCGTTTTCAGACCGCTCTAATTCTTTATTGACGGTTCAAACTCTCCTATCAGATCTCTCTTCGTTGCATGCAAAGGCAGAAAAACTTGAAGTTGCATCCTCAAAAATATTTGGAGGAGATGAGTCCAGAATCCGCAAATTAGAGGAAATAAGAAAAACAATAAGAGCCACAGAAGATGCTAAAACTTGTGCAATCAGAGAGTATGAAAAGATTAAGGTAATATTTGCTGCTCTTGCCTCAGTGGCAGCAGCCAAAGTACCAGCTGGGTTATTCTGAGCCTAAAGTAATTACATTTGAGTTTTTGCCAGTACTCGCAACGTATTATTATGCATACATGGTTTGCATCTACAGTAATGGCATTAGCTGTATAAGCGTTGTTATCATGAGTGAGAGTAGCTAAATATATGTCTATGGCCATTTATCAATATATCTGGACTTGCATCCAGTCTGTGGATTAGGTTTTAGAAGTTTTAGCTGCTATTCTTACTGGATTGTGTGGCTATTTGTATTCAAATTAGAAATTAACTAGTATATAAAAGTTTGGTAAGTAATGAAAATTAAATCCGTTGCCTTTCTATAATTAGATTCATGTAATTTGAACATTTTTTATTTATATTGAAAACGACATATAACATTTTGGTATACTAGTTAAAGGCAATCCTCCTTAGAGGATTTATAGCAATGCAAAATTTTATGATGTGACACCATCAAATAAGGGGGTTTTGGCAAGTTTCACCTGGTTAAGAGCTTAGATTTTGTTTAAATAGTACTGGGCTGAGATTAAACCTGGTTTTGGTGGTTCAAATTTTGGTCCTTAACCAGGTTAGGATTGGACCACTCTGAATTAGAATTGATCTGGCTAAGGCCTTAGCTTGGTTTGTTTGAAGTTGTCAAACCGAGCTCTAGTGTACGAACTTTGTCTGCAAGATCTAATCTTTTACGCATGAATGTGGATATGTGCTGTTTTGTCTTATGTGTAATGATACTATTTTTGGAGGTGATCAAGGTTGCTACAGACATGGGTCAAAGCCACTTATACATACCGTTGTTAGTTTGAAGCCATGCAATTTGGCCTTACTTCTTGTTATCGTTCTATGAACTCTATAACTGGTAGCATGAATTGTAAAACTTGAAAGCTTCATTGGTGGCGGGAAGATGAGAAAAACTGTCACAAAAGTGTGTTTATGAGCCTGAAACGACAAAACATTTTAACTTGACTCTAGTTACAGCCAAAACGTGTGAGCTAAATAACATGTAAAGAGGAGTTACGAGGTATTTGGCAGCGGACAAATTTTTGAAAACACCAATTTTTCAAATTTATATAGCAAAATCGACCGTTTTTGAAAAAAAGCAGCAAAACCGACCCTTTTCAGATGAAAAGGGTCGGTTTTGCTGCGGAAGAGTTTTTCGAAAATGCACGGGACTAGCAGTCATGTGCATTTCGTTTTCTTTTTCATTTCGTGCACTTCGACAGCACGGGAGGGGCGGGGTTGTTGT